AGCAGCTAATATCACTTAATAATCTCTAGCAAGTGCCTAGAGAAACAAATGATTCATTCTCCTCTTTCCAATTACTGTTTGTTCCTATAGACAGCAATTGTGTCTTCAACAGTCTCCCTGTACTTGTGAAAACAAGTGGGTGACAGACCCTCCGCACCCAGAGTTCAGGGGGTTGTGAGCTGCCTCCCTGGGTGCCTGGAAGAGAACTCTGGTCTTCTGCAAGAGCAGCAAGCCCTTTTTAAAAAACTGTTTTATCTTTTGCTTTCATTTTTATGGACAATATTCATAAGTTGATAAAATGTTAAGGGAAAAAATCTAATCATCATTGAACTTAAGTTAGAATGGCTGTGATTGTTGATATCTCTTCTTTATAATATTTTGTTGGAAATAGATATGTACATTGCTTAAGAGTCTAGCACCTGATTATTTTTCTTGAAAAGCTTTTTGCATATTTCTTAGGGCCTCTTGAGTCTCATTCGTTCAGGTTGATTACAGTACTTGTTTTGTGATAGTCTCCTCATCAGTCTGTGGATGACGTGTGCTTTTATTTCACGTTTGTGAATCCAACACCTACAGCAACCCCCCCTTCACCCCCCACTGCCCCATCTTAATGGGGATCTGCTCCTCACACTGACAGCACTGTGAGGCTATGGACGTGTGTGTGTGTGTGTGTGTGTGTGTGTGTGTGTGTGTGTGTATGTATGTGCGTGCACATTATATATTGTATGCATCCTAGTGGGGACCAGAGGTCTACATTAGCAGTCTTCCTTGATTTTTCTCCAGCTTATTTTTTCTTATTAGTTTTTCATTTGCTCTTATGTGTGTGTTTGGGGGATACATAGCTGTTGTGAACACATGGAGCTCATGAACACATGGAGCTCAGAGAGAAGCCTTGTGGAGGTGGTTCTTTGCTTCTATTTTCACAAGCATTCTGGGGAGTGAACATAGGTCAGCAGACTTCCATTGCTGAGTGATAAGCAACTTTATCTGCTGAGCCATCTACCCTGCCCCCAACTCATGTTTTTTGAGATGGATCCTCTCATTGAACCCAGAGGGTAGGCCAGTGTAGAGAATGGTAACAGATCTAAGAGCTGATAACAAGGTAATTCAGTCAATGGGTTCTTTCAGGCTGAGGAGTTGGTGAGGTAAGAGGTAGTGGCTGTGGCTTGTTCTTCTTCTCTGATCTTTCAGCTTTCACCCTGACATCTGGCTCTGGTTTTTATTAAGACCAATCAGGATTTGTGCAACATCTGACATCCAACTTTTGGGGCATGAATTCATGAAAAAGCCACTTGCCTGTGACTTTGCAGCCACCAGCTCAAATCGGAGCTGTATGTGACCAGAATCTCCACCCAACCTGGGCCGGAGTCCCTACCCTGCCAGCTAAGTTTCTGGTGAAGCCTCTCTGCAGCAAACTCCATAGACTTTTGGGCTCCAAAATCTACAGGAGTTAGCTGCTTTTGTTCCCTTGTGCAGACAGCTGGCTCTTTCACTTCTCCCCTCTCCCAGTGGGTTGTGGCTTTCACTGTAACCCCTCCTTGGGCGGCTGCCACACTAGGTAACTGCCTCACTTCACTGTCATCTGAATCACCATTGTCAGCAGAATTGGTGAGTTAATTGGGATTTCTTTTTTCTTTCTTTCTTTCTTTCTTTCTTTCTTTCTTTCTTTCTTTCTTTCTTTCTTTCTTTCTTTTTTCTTTCTCTCTTTCTTTCTTTCTTTCCTCCTTCCTTCCTTCCTTCTTTCCTTCCTTCCTTCCTTCCTTCCTTCCTTCCTTCCTTTTTTTTTGTTTTTTTTTTTCAAGGCAGGGTTTCTCTGTGTAGCTTTGTACCTTTCCTGGATCTTGCTTTGTAGACCAGGCTGGCCTCGAACTTACAAAGATCCGCCTGCCTCTTAAAGAGGAAAATTAGTTAAAAAAAAGTCAGAGAGAGAGAGGTTTTTTTCCCCACATTAAAAAATGGGAAACATTATTACAATGGAAAGAGTTTGGTCTCTGTTTCATAATGCATTCAATGGTCTGAAAAATGGAACAATTAAATGAGAGGGTAATTAATGTTGATGGGATTTATGTAATGTCAATTATAAATATTATTTGTTTGATCATTTCTGTTTTGTCTTTAAAAAAGTTGGTTAATGTGAGTGCCAAGATAAACATTTTAGAAAAACTTGTTAAAACAGATCATAGAGATATTTAGACCCAGACAGAGGGATTTAAAGGAGAGCCAATTTCAACATTGCATTATAAGGTTCAGAGAAACAGTCTAATGCCTTCAAACAGTCAACCTTAATTTATCCAGGAACCTTACAGGAACTACCAAATGATAGAATCCTCAGGGGTGTGTAAAAGATGAATGGACTCCTGTGCATATGTTAGACTTGAGGAGATGCAAGGAAGCAATAGTCTCATATGGTGTGCACTCACCTTTTGTGAAGCAGATGTTAAACTGGTGGTCAACTTGTAATAGAATTATCCCTCAAGACTGGAGAGAGTTGGTTACAGCAGTCTTAGAGGCTGGTCCCAAATTACAATGGAGGACCTGGTGGAAGAATGAGGCTAAGACCATTGAACAATGGAGTACAACTAGAATATTGAAATTTGCCAAGATCAACTTCTTGGAGAGTGCGATTATGCTGATTATGATCTACAAAGATAATCTTTATATGATATTCACACCCTGGCTTTATGCTGCACAGCAGCCTTGAAAGCTTGGGAAAGAATTGAAGAAGTAGGAAAGAAAATTGAGTCATTTACAAAAGTTATACAGGACCCAAAAGAAACTTACACTGATTTCCTACAAAGACTGACTTCAGCAGTAAATAGAATGATACCAAATTCAGAAGCTATACAAATAATAATTGAATCTCTGGCTTTTGAAAATGCTAATGCACAATGCAAAAGGGTAATTAGGCCATTAAAAGTAAAATCAACACCCTTGGAGGGATGGACCTGAGATACAACCAGTATTGAATCTTATGATCATGATGATGCTTGGATAGGAGAGGTGATTTCCAGAGGTTTGAAGAAAAATTGTAATGTCAAATGTTTCAGTTGTGGTAAACATGGTCACCTAAAAAGGAACTGAAAACAGGGTGTTCCTAGAAACAATTTTTTTTAAGGAATAATCCCAACAAAATGCTCCTCCCTTCTGGATTATGTAGAAGGTATGGCAAAGGCAGACATTGTACTAAAGAATGTAGATCAACAAGGAACAGACAAGGTAATCCTTTGCCTTTGTGGTAGGGAAACTCCCTGAGGGGCCTCTCATAGGACCCCATGTCAAATTCCATTCAGTCTTTTCTGTCATCATGGAGGAAACTCCTTCCCAGAGCAATTAAAGAACCTAATGCCTATCGTAAAAAACCATACTTCTGGATGAAAGAACAGTTATAGAAGAGAGAACAAAAACTTCAAGAGAAACCATAAAGTGAATTTTTTTGTAAACTTCTATAAGTGAATAAAGACCAAATTTGAAAATATGAATAAATGATGTTGTCATTGAAGGTCTTGTAGACACTGGTGTAGATGTAAAATAATTGAACCAGAAACTTGGCATCCAAATTGGCCTCTTCAGGAGGTAAATATTCAGCTTTTAGGGATTGGAGCATTATCCCAAGTGAAACAGAGTGTGAGATGTGTCAAATGTATAGGGCCAGAGGACAGAGAGGAAAATTAAAGCCATATGTGGCTAATATATCCATGAATTTATGGGAATGTGATTTGTTACAGCAATAGAATACCCTGATTAACATTCCTTCAATCACAGAAACAAATGATGAATTAACATATATTTCTGGGAAAAATATTAGAAGGTATTATAAAGTACAGTCACTGATCATTCAGCTTGTACAAGGATAGGGCACAATAGCTGCTGATCTTTCACAGACACCAACAGCTCTACCTTTAAAATGGTTAACAGACAAAGCCTGTATGGGTTAAGCAATGGCCTTTAACAACCGAGAAACTACAGACCTTAGAACAGCTGGTACAAGAGCAGTTAAATGTTCAGCAATTGAAGAATCAACCAATACTTGGAATTCTCCTGCATTTGTTATTAAAAAGAAATCCGATAAATGGAGAATGGAAACAGATCTAAGAGCAATTAACAAGTTAATTCAGCCAGTGGGCTCTTTCAGGCTGAGGAGTTGGTGAGGTAAGAGGTGGTGGCTATGGCTTGCACTTCTTCTCTGACCTTTCAGCTTTCACCCTAATATCTGACTCTGGGTTTTTATTAAGACCAATTATGATTCGTGCAACACCAGTGAGCTTCGGGAATCTGCCTGTCCTGTCTCTCCACTAATGAGATCACAAATGTGCCATGGTGTCTGTCTTTGTCTTTATGATATTTTTAATGAATCCCTGTTCTTTATAATAATATGATCATGATGTTATGCAACTTAAATTTTTTCTTACTTAGGGTCTAAAAGATATTTACCCATTGACATTTGAATATATTTTTTTTAACATTTGACATTTCAATCCTTTAAGAGTTGGAATTTGTGGTTTGAGTGAACTAAAGGTTCAACTTCATGTGATCTTTTTCATAAAGCATTTTTTTTTAAAGATCTCCACTTGTATTGGTACTCTCTTCTTACTCAAGCAGCATCACTGATCAACAGACTTTCACAAGTGCATTGGTCTATGTTTCTGTTTGGTTCATCTTCCTTTATCTTATGGTTTCCCTCTTCATCCTCTTTTTCCTCCTCTCCCCCCTCCTTCCCTCTCCCTTCCAGTCCTTTATCCTGCCCCTCCCCTCCCCTCCTCTCTCCACACACACATTCATCTTTTATATTTAAGCCAGCATAGTGGTACATACCCATAATGTAAGCATTGGGAGGTTGAAGCAAGAGACTCAGGAACTCAAAGCCAGCTTCAGTGACATAATAAAATCTGGGTCAGCCTGGGCTACAGGAGGTAACACACACCTTTCTTTGATAAGAGATATCTTCGAACTTAAGACTCATGTGTGCATATGTAGATTTTAAGTACTTGTTTTTCCATTAGGTTTTAGATATAGTAAAATCAAGTGTCCGTACAGTTCTTCCAAGAATCTGGAGGGTCCCCGATGCTGAAGAAGTGAGTTTATACCGGATTTTCAACCGGGTGTTTAATCGCTTACTCTGGAGTCATGGTCAAGGTCTGTGGAGTTGTTTCTGTGATTCAGGGTAAGTTGAAGTCATTTAATTCTCTGTTACTGCAATTTTAAATGTTTTATTATTAGCTATATAGGCAGACAAAGGACATGGTCAAATATCTTTATAATAGTCTTTTAAAATATGAATTTTTATTGCATATAATTATAATACTCAAGTATAACATATATCAATTAAGTTGATTTGTGTAAGTCAATAGTGAGCTCTGGGCTCAATGAGAGACCTTCTTTCCAAAAATAAGGTAGAGAGAAATCAAGAAATCAAAATCAAGTTTGATGGAGGGACCCAACATCAAACTCTGCCCCCCATGCAGACATGTACGTGCACACAGAATATACATACCACACCATGCATACACACATACATACAGAAATATGCATACATATTACACACACACACATACACACACTACACACATGCATACATATACTGCACACATACACACAAACATACATCCTTATACATACATGAGCAATAAAAGAGATTTCTGGGTAGTCTTGACTCCAGTGTTTCATTTGTTTATTTTATTTTATTATCAAGATCACTGCCTAAACTGTAGTGATTTCCCTCATCTATCATCAGAATCTAAACTTGTCTACAGACACAGGCTGTCTACAACACTCATTCTACCTTCTTTAGTCTTTACTCTCCTGTTTGGTACATACTCCAGAAAAACTCATCATTTTTCAAATATCTTAAAAATCTGTCCATTCTGCATGATTGGAGCCCTATATAGAGGCCCAGAGAACACTTATCTCTGTTGTAAAATCTTAACATAGTGTTCTGCTCTGAGACTCCGAGTCATTCATGCCTTTTGCAGACCCCTTCTCAGCACTATGTGTTTTCCTTCATTTGTCATTCACCAGTAGAAGAGCACTCTGGGTTGTGATGCCATCTGAGGACAATCTTGCCTATAAGACATCCCTACAGAGATTTAGGTGAAATATTTGATCTGTGTTCTGAAGCCCTCTAATTGATGGCTCTCTGGGATAAGAGTTCTGTCTGAACTCTTTTGGTTTGTTTGATCCTTTAGCTTGCTTCTACATATGGATTTCAGCTCCTGCCAACCATGGAAGGCTGTGATACAGTTTGCTACTTAACTTAGTGCTGGGTGTTTGCCAGTGTCAACATCTAATGGTATACGTCTGGTGACTTCATTGATCACAGGGTTTTATTTACTCACTCTATTTGGTAACACATTCTGGCTTGACTGAGTTTCCTTTTCACCTGCCACTAACATAATATTCTGTGCAATTTTTTCTGGTGGTATCTTTCCCTACAAATACTGACAGCAGTGGTAAGCCATGCTTATTAATGGTTTACTAAGCATAGGACAGTTGTTCATATATTCACTATAAAATATCTAGAGTAAACTATTACTATTATCTTAATTTGACAGGCAAAGAAACTAAAACATGTACAGAATATGTAAATTATTCAGGTTCCCATAGAAATTGGGTGAGCCTCCATTTAAACCCAGGAAGTCCAAGTTGAGCTCTAAGAGAAGTGCCTTCTTGGCTGCTCCCAGATACATTTGCCATTGGCCAGCATTTACCATTTGCTTCACTTCAAGCCCCCAACATTAGCCAAATCCTTAGCCAGTTATGCCTGAACAGGTGGAGGAGAAATACTTTGGAGTTCAATATGGCTTCACTCTACACCCATTTCTTTCATGCTGGTGGTTTTAGATGTTTAGCTCTGAGCTTTTTTTGACAAATAAGTGAGCTTTGTAGGCTTTCTTGACTCTGAAGCCACATGGTACTACTTGTGTTTGGTCCTCAGTTTGGATCTTCTACAATTCTACTGTATCTTTTGATACAGTATGAAATCCTTTAATAGATAATCTGACAGCTAATAAGATAGGATGAAAGAAATCTAGTTTCATTTCTCAAGGAATGATTTTAATAAAAAATGTTGCTTTCTTGCTCAGCTATGTGGAAAATATTAGACAAATAATTTAAATAACAATAGGACAGCTCCATTCCTGTCTCTGTCTGTTAATACACAGGAATAAGATTAAACAAATAAGCCATCTTGCTTACCTCCAGAGACATTGAAAAATATTATAAATCTTCCTTTCTAGTTTCAATAAATTCAGCCCAGGTCTTTTGTATTAGACAGCAAATATCCTGGTCTTTCTATTCTTGGATGCTCATGCCCAAGAACCCTGTGGTTGCATTGTAGTCCCCTGGGAGGGTTTTTATTAAAGATACATTTTATTTAAAAAATTCTGTGTATCTGATTTTTGAGGGTATGTGCATGTGAGTGCAGATGTCCAAAAAGCCCCAAAGACGGTATTGGATCCCCTGACGCTAGAGCTACTGGTGTTGTGACCTGTACAGTGTAGGTGCTGGGATTCAAAGTCAGGTCCTCTTGGAAGAGCAGGACGCACTCTTAACCACCGAGCCATCTCTTCTGCCCCTCTGGAAGGGTTTTGATGGTCTACATTCTCAATGTAGTCAGTCGTGTGAGCAGTGTAGTTCCTGAAATTTCCTTAAATAAAATTATCTGCTGTGTTTTCCTGGGCTAAGAGAATTCTAGATTTCTGTGTACTCTGACTCAGGACAGATGGCTATGGTGAGTAACATTTCAGTTGAGACCTGCAGGAAGAATAGGTGTTGACCACATAAAGCAGTGAGGAAGAGGAGGGGAGGGGAGGGGGAATGTGGAGGAGAAAGGGGGAGATGAAGAGAAAGGGGAAATGGTGTAGCAAAGAACCATGTTGGAAAGGATTCTCCAGTCCTCTCTGTACCCAGAGCAAGAAAATCTGGTTTAGACCTTTAGCCCAAAACATTTTCTGTGGGAGTTTGTCATATAGAAGCTTTATTATTTATTTTTAAGATCTTAGTTCAGAAACATTCTAAGACACATTCTTGGATATGTTAAAAGACAGAGGCATACTTGTCCATACAAACAATGGAGCTACCCAAGAGTCACCTAAGTTGTATTTGTCTAATATTTTCACTGTAACTGAGAAAGAAAGCTATACTTTTTTTTCCTTAGCTAAAATCATTCCTTGGAAATGAGAAGACGGGATTTCACCCCGACTTCCTAGCTGTCAGAGCAGCTGTTAAAGGAATACATAGTGACGGGCAAAGCTTCAGAAGATAAAGCAGAACTGTGGAAGATCCAAACTGAGGGCCAAACACAAACAAGCACCTTCACAGACTGGCTTGGTTCTAGGTTTTGAAATAGTTTGAAAACCACATGCATAAAGTGTAGATGTTAAGTGATGTGATTCTCTTCCTTCACAGCCCTCCCATTTGGCTGTGTTCATGGTAGGTGTTCAGCGCTCAAGTCTTTCTTCTAGTGATTATTTACTCACTTGACAGACTGTCTACATTTGAAACAGACAAAGCAAAACTGTTCTTTCTCCTTTCTCTGTACATTTAACCATCAGTTAGTCTTCTTCCAGGGTACAAAGGAATAAATTATTTCCCTTCAGATAAATGTTTTATTAAAATTTTCATAAGGGAGAGGGTGAAGTGGTTGGATTATTGAATAATAGGAGGACTTTCAAAGTCTTGGGATTTCATTAACCCCTCTTTGTTGTGAGAAGTATTCAGGATTTTATCCCTTGTCATTATGTCACTAAAAATGTCATCTAAAGCCATCCCCTTTAATATTTCTCTGAGGATTAGGGAAAACCCAAAAGAACTATTTAATCATTTAATTTTTCTTTTAGAATTCATTGATGTTAGTGCTTTTATTCCCTTTGAATTTAGATTCAGAAAGCAGGCAAGGAGACCCCTGGGTTCTTTGATTTGAAAGCACTGGTATTTTCAACTCTTCCTATCTCCTTTACCTTTGTTAAAAACAACAAGAACAATAACAAAAACCTTTGTGCTATTACTTTGGAACAAGGGTAGCAAAGGAACATTTCATATATACCTTTGATGGCAGGCAGTAGCTGAGGAGCGCACATTGCTGAATATCACAGCTCTCCTGTGTATTGGCTCTGGTAGCCTCTGGCAACAAGTCTTGGGTCTTACTCATTTCCTCTTCTCTTATGACGAGTTTTGTATGCTGATATTTGAATCTAACTAATAGACTAGAATGAAGTATTTTGCCAGTGATATTGAAAATATACACAGAAAGTGTGTATAGAACATTGATTCGTGCATTTGTCTTGAAAAGAGAACGGTAGGCCAGTCAAAGCTGTTTTCCTTCTGTAAGCAGGAGCCAGCAAAGTGACTAGCCATGCATCAATGGCCTCAGAGACAAACTTCACACATTATGTAAACAAGTTACATCAAATTGAAATGAAGAAACACCCTTATCTTTCTTCCATATTTTTTCTTCCTCTCTTCCCTCTAAATCTCAAGGTCAATAAAGAAAAATAACCTTGATGTGAGAGACCTGGTACAGATCTAATCAGATGTTTCAAAGTATAAAAAATTTTAATAATCCTATTCAACATGGAGGATAATGAGGGAGATAGATGTTCTTAGACATAACAGAATCTCAGCAGAGATGGATAGATGAGCAGGCGAAACATAGGATGTTTTCTATGTGTATTTATAGGCATATACAATTTTACATCTCTCATCTCAGACATCTAAGGTCTTTTAGATTATGCATATTAAATACAAACATAAGTGGTAATTATCTTTTCTAGTGTTTTCTTGCTTCAATTAGGAAAGTTAATTTTATATCTGTAGCTATAATATATGTCTTGATAACACATGTATATTGTTAAATGCTTAGTAGTAAATTTTGAGTTAATTGAGCTAGCATTTAATTGTTTATGGATTAGAAATGTTTATGCCTTTGCTAAGGAAAAAGTATTATATTTAGACCTTAACATTTCCAAACCCAGAAGAAAATCCATTTCTTTCAATGAACTCACTTGAGCTTTAACCCTGTAGGAAAATCTGTCCTTTGCTGATGACATGCTGTCTTCTTGATACGTGTTTTTCCTCAGAAAATAAATAGTAGTCTTTGCAGGAAAAAACAAAACAAAACAAAAAACCTGCAAACACTTTGAAGTGTGTAAATAATTTTTTAAAATTCCAAATATATAAAATAGTTACAGAAGGTTGAAAATTGAGTCTTTGGAATTTCCTTTTGAGACTTTTTTTCTCCCCATGAAAAAAGATTTTTCCTTAGTATTTTTTTTTCTTTCTGAAAACTTGTTCTTTCCCACTGAGGGTTACAAAAGTTGGCTTTTGTAAAAAGAGACTTGAGCCATTACAAAATTTCAAGCCACTTTCCCCTCAAGGTTTGAAGAGTTACCCCTCCTCCATCCATGCTAAGGTATTCTGGAATTAAGCCATGGTCCATAACTTGGGATTTGATAACAGTAACATGGACTAACATGCACACACAAACAATGGGGCTTTCCAGGGGATTGTGAGCTGTTCTCACTTTGGAGTGAGTTTCCTGAAAGAAGGACACCAGCTCCTGTGTGGGAGGTGAGTACCTGCTGGGGTGGCATCACTGCTGGAGTACATATCTGCATTAGAGGAAGCATAAGGGACAGTTAATACAGAAAATATTTTAAAAGGGGTGTTCATAATCAACCAAACTGAGTTTCCTAGAGCAGGGCAGCCATCAATTAAATTACAATGACTTTGTAATCTCTTTGTGTCTAGCATTATGCTAAATATAGAATTCAAAAAAATCTAAATTCCTAGAATACCTGAAATTAGAGAAATTAACCAAATACTTTAATATGGAACAGCTTCATTTTTTAAAGCAGGAATGAGCCATTTTGTTAGCTATCCATGTGGGTAGCACTAATGGACTTAAAGACAAAAATTATATAATAATTTGGTTTTTAAAAAATGAAGACTAACTTCCTAATTTGTGTCTATTATAAAACTTTCCTATTCATTACATACGGGAGAGGCCATTTCTACCTTGTTTCCCAGTTTGTTGCTAGGTAGGTGATCTAGCTGGTTCCCATTTTTAACAGTGAATGCGAAGTCATGTCTGTTTCCATGCCAACAGAACTTCTTGGGAGAGCATCTTCAGTAAGAGCCCGGAGGTGGTGACTCCGCTGCAGCTTCAGTGTTGCCAGCGCCTGGTGGAGCTCTGCAAGCAGTGCCTGCTGGTCGTTTACAGGTACACCACTGAAACACGAGGGCCTATCACAGGCATTGGTCCCGACTGGGGCAACTCCAGGTAAGCTCTACATCCTTAGTCCCCTGTGAGTTTTGTGTAGAGACATGACATCAAATAGTTTGAAATTGAGAGGTCTAAAAAGATTAGGATATTTTTATGCTTATATAACTAGGGGATCATCAAAAAACTGAAAATATATCCATTCTCTAATCTACAAAACAGCTTTGATTTGCCCAGTCTTTGTCTTTAAGAAACTGAACAGCAATCACTAACCTAAAGGTGATAGATGTGATTGGAGATAAGTATACACACACACACACACACACACACACACACACATTCAAAACCTGTTGAAGAGCACTCCAAAACATTGGAATAAAATGAACTACTATTAGGCATTCCAACATTCATCCCTGTTAACAGTATGGTTGAGAAGGTGCATTTACTTTGATTTTATTATTCAGCATGCTTCTACCAAGACATTGCCACAGCAATCAGCAGGAGATAAATTGTTGTCAAGTTCTATCTCAAAATTCAGTTTCATTTATGCCCAGTTAAAACATGTAGTTTTCTAAAAGTTGGAAACACAACAACAAGAAACAACTGTTAAGCTGCAAAAGTACAGAATAAAAAAGTAGTTCATTTTAGAATGTTCCAAAACAATTACAATTCCTATTAGAATTAAAGATGAATTGTAACTTTGGGTATTTGTTGCAGCTTGGTTTAGTGTTAGAAACTTGAACCCAGGATTTCACACAGGATAAGCAAGTTCTCTATACACTGAGCTGCATTCCCAGCTTCTGCCACTTCAGTTTTATTATACGAAAGTTGTAGTGCTGCTTAAAGTAGAAGAAAGTAAGTCATGAATATGAAGTCATAGTCAAAAGGAGTCAAGGAGTAGGCTGAAAAAGAGCAAATGGGATCACTAGAAATGGATGCAGTAAAAGATCTCGGGGAGGCCCCTGAAGTCCGCTTTCTACCACAGTGACCTGGAACAACAGAACAGATGTTTTTCTCAGAAAGGACCAACACACACATTTGTCTTAGATTTTGTTTTATGTACACTGTGTAGGATGACTAATCTGTTTTAACTTTTTGCAAATAGTAACCAATTGATCATAACAATCCCAGAGACAAAGTTAATTGTTTTTTTTAAATATGTGGACAACATTAAATTTATACTGCACAGTTATAATGGGAAATAAATCTTTCTTTAGTGGTTTCATCAGATTTGAAAGGATGCTAACCATTGTTTTGACATTACAGCCCAGAAATGAAGAGCCCTTCTTTAAGGAGCAGCATGCTGTGCATAATCTGGGAAGCTTCAAATTCCCACATAGGACAGAATTTATCAGTTCTCTCTTGTGTCATCCTGCAATTCTAGCCCTTACAGCTCAGTTTCAATTGATGGATCAGGTAGCTTTTGTGAGCAAGGCAAAGAGGATGGTTTCCTGGTTGGTCTGGGAAGATGTCACATCCACAATTGCTTCCAGTCTTTTATTTCCTTCTAATCTTTGTGTTCAGGAGAGACGTTCCTGGTCCTGAAATCGTCAGTTCTGGACTTCTGGGAGATGCTCAGATGAGCCTGGGGTTAAGAGTCTAAGCATTAAAAAGAAAAAAGAAAAAAAAAACAGTCTAAGCATTATGAGGTGTCTGTAAATGCATCGTCATTCCTGCCCAAGTTCAGAATTCTGAGAGTTCAAAATGTAATTCTGCTGACAGAATATTGGGGAGATGATGTAGATGATGCCAGTGAGTTTCTAATACCAAATTACAAGATCAAACTTATCCTTTTCAAAGCAGAGTTGGCTCAACACAAAATTTCTATTCCCTTAGTTCCATGAGGGCTTGGGGGGGGGGCAAGTGGGCATGCCACTTCTCTGCAAGGGCTGAGCCAACCAAGCTTGCATCCTCCCTTTAAATCCAATAATCAGATAATGTAATTCTGGAAAGACGCCAGGACATTTACACTAGTGAGAGTTAGCTATTCATGGAAACCCAAGAAGTGGAGGGAAATAAACATCTTTATTCAATATCTAGCTATTAAAACTCAGGTGAATCAATTTAAGAACATCAATTTTCTCTTACAGGGAAATGAATCTGTAACATTTTACTTTATAGAGCTTAGTATTTAATAGATTGATTGCTTTTATTTATGAAGTATACCTGATAAAATATACATGTGAATGTATATGTATAAATTAATTGTAAATAATAGCATACATAAATATGAATATAGCATATGCATTCATGAGGTATGCTTGGATACTTTTATGAGAGGATGTGTTTTTGGATATTTCATTTAAAAACCAAAAGCGAGGCAGTTAGCATCACCCAGTTTTATAAACCCAAGCATAATGTATCCTTGAGCAATATTTCCTAGGAGGTTTTAACTATTATATGGTAGACATTGGTTTCTGATCTTGCAACCTTACAGAAATAACAACACATCAATAAAAATGACACAGCACACACAAGTCTCATGAAAACTAAACCATTAGATTTGGTGTACGAACTGAGGTATTCATTTGGAAATGTGCGCCTGTCTATGCAGTCTTCAGAATACTAAAGTTTCAGACCAGTTTGGTGCTTCACTGAACTGAGATTAGTTCTTACACTTTGAGTTCTCCAACTGCTTTTAGGTGTTCAGGTTTTTAGGAGTTTACCACCAACCTCATCTTGAGAATGGAAAAAGAGAGAACTTAGTTTCTCTTTGTTATAAGAGAACTTATATTTACCTGCCTTTGATACCCAAAACCAAACAGAGATTTCTTGGCAAAGAAAAATGTGTTCACTCTAACCTATCAAATAAATGTAAAATATGAAGCTATATATTAGCAAACTGAACCAATTATAGCAAAGGTAATCCCTCATCCAGCTTCGGCTTATGGTATTGGTGATAGAGTCCATTACCTGAAGAAGATGTGATTGAGGTCTTTTGCTACCTAATGGATTAGAAGACCATTTCAAAAGATCCAGGGAGAGGGTTGGGATGTGGCTCAGTGACAGGAATGTTTGTGGTGAGTGTAGTAGGCCCTGGGTTTGAGCCCTGATATTGCTCCATCCAGGTAAAGATAAATCACCTTATCAAATTCAGTTACACGTGTGATTAGAAAATTGTTTGGCCAGCCAGAAAAAGAAGAGGAAGAATTTTTGTAGTTCAATACAACATAACTACAGAAGTCTCATAACAAATATGCTTAAACGTCCAGGCATTTCCTTCTCATATGAGGAACAAGGCAAGATTGTCTGCTCTCCCTATTCCTGTTCAGCCTCATAACTGAAGGGCCTAAACATACTAATGATAAAGACAGGTAAAAGGCATCTGGTTTGAAATGGAGAACTAAAGGTTTATTATTAGTGAATATAACTGTATATTCATATGCATCTATATATAAACAAAGTAACTTTAGCTATCTTGATGAAATCCGTCGATCTAAGAAAGTAAATTATTATATTCTTTATTAACAACAGAGATCTAGAATTTGAAAATTCAAGCACCAGCATTAATATCTTGAAAGAATTTTTAATCATTATAGGAATGCATCTAATAAGGATATATAAGATCCATATTCCGGAAAATGTGAAAATGGAAACATATACTTTAATAATTAAAATCATCATTATAATGCCATTTTCTCTCAAACTGTTCCATATACCCATGAATTCAATATAATCTTACTGTATTTTGCAACACATTTTTGTAGCAGAAATATTTGTTCCTAGTTTGTTCTAGCATTTGAAGCACAGAAGAACAAAATAAAAAAATAGATAAGACAATCTTAAAATAGAAACTCAAAGTAGATTTACAAACTACTTGCTGGAAAGCCTTGAACCAAAATAAGGTAAGTTAAAATGATGTAAAGTTGACAAGCAGTTGGACCAATGGGACTGCTGTGGAAAGCTGTAAGCTAGCCCAAGCATACCAAGAGACTTGACTTATGACAAAGGGGGCCCACCTTCTTTATAGCAAATGAAGAGAGGAAGATTACTCATACAATGGTGATAGGAGAGTTGGATTTCCAAGTACTCTAGAAAAGAAACCCAACTTCATCCATGAAAATGATGAGCTAAGTAGACAGTCATGAAGGGTAAAACTGCAAATTTCAGAGGATAATTTAGAAGAATATCTTCATGAATTTGAGATGTATAAATCACCATTAGAAAAATAGCTTCAAAGGTGTTAATCATAAATGAAAAGATGAATATGTTTTTGTATGAAAATTAGGTATATATACATATAGTTATCATAACAGCCTATTAAAAATAAAAACCTAAAAGCTACAGCATAGAGGAAGATGTCTGCAATCTATATAACATGTGAGAAAGTTGTGTTCCAAGGCATGGGTGTGCAGGACTGTAATCCCAACATGCAGGAACAGAGGTGGAAGCAGAGAATCAGGAGTTCAAAGCCAGCCTTAGCTAGATAGCAAGTTCAAGCCAGCCAGGGTTACATGAGACCTTATCTCAGGACAAAAGGCAAAATACAAACAAAAATAAAGTGTGATACAAATTTTACATGAATTCCTACAACTTCTCAGGAGAAAAACAGATTGGTTAATGGAAACTTGGGGAAGATAACTTGGAAAAAAAGGACAATAAACATTTAAAAATGTATATAGGCAAACTAGAATTCAAGATACTACAAAATAATAGAACAAAGCATCCTCAAAGCTGCACACCAGGACCCACCAAGAACATCAAGAAATAAGAAATGACAGAAAACAATGACAATGGGTGACAGTTCGGCATTTCATACTGGACTCCACCATTTTCATAGCCACTGTGCCCGTAATTTTCTATCAGAAATGTATAAGTGTGAACACAACAATCCTTTCTACAATGGTCATGGGATAATTTACTCATAACACTTAAAAAAATTAGAAACAACCCAAGTATCCAGCAGATGAACAGACAGGTTTTCTGTAATATCACACAATGGCATGACACTCTGGTTAGGAAAACAGTTTACCTGCAAATACGAGGATAGGGGCTCAAACATAAAATGGAGCAATAAGTACCTGTACTTGTCCAAGTACAAAGGAATAGGTACTTTATAA